AAATAATTGTGAAACTAGTAATAATAACATAAACAAGAGAGAATATAAGTCATCTACAGTTATACCATATAAAGAGGGGACATCTGGGACGCTACGTAAGATTCTAAATAAATCAGGAATTAGAGTGGCATTCAAACCTACAAACTCAATCAGATAGGACAAGCTGTGTATGTTAAAGGACCCAGTTGACCCAATTAGACAAACTAATATAATTTACAAAATACCCAACAGTACGACTGTGAGGTCAACTACATAGGTCAAACTAGTAGGTCAGGGGTGGTCAGATTGTTAGAACATGAGAATTTAACTAAGGTTAGAATGGTTGACCTCGAGAAGATAAGTAATTTACAAAAAAGCTCAGCTATTGCACTTCACGCATTAACAAACAACCACACAATAGCATGGTGGGAGAGGGTTGAAATTCTACAAAGTAATCTAGTTAGGTGGAGAGAGAGATTGATTACGGAATCCTTGTTCATCGAGTCTACGCCCAACACATGCAACAGAAATGACTGAATGCAAATACTAGAAATATGGAAGATTTTATTACCGCCGGTCAAATCAGAAGAGGATAATAAATAATCATAATATTCTACTTCGATTCAAACACATCACAACATTCTAACAAGTAACTAATTATGACCATAAAAAACACTCGTCTTATTTCCCATCTGATTGAAATTGATCAATAACACTCGTATTATTATTTCTGAATGTACATTATTTCATATTGATTTTTATTCGAATATCTAATGGATTCCACACATGTATATAAATGAAGGAAAAAGTTATATGAGTGACTTGATATGATTATGAGTGGTTATAGTTTGTGCTGGAAACGCGGTCATCAGTTAATATTACACACGACCACACAATAGGGTGGGAGAGGGTTAAAATTCTAAAAAGTAATCTAGATAGGTGGAGAGAGAGGTTGATTACTGAATCCTTGTTCATCGAGTCTACACCCAACACATGCAATAGAAATGATTCATCAGTCATACCCAAAATATGGAAAATACCACAACCAATCAAATTCGGTGAAAATGAAGTGAAAATGGGACAGTGGAACTATATAAATGAAGTTAGGAAGTCGTGTGATTACCTCGATATGATTATGAGCAATAAGTTGTGCTCGAAACGTCATCAGTAAACATTATTGTATAACACTGTGTGGGACTTTATCAAAATAAAATCTTATCCATAATGGAGTTACTGACATCAGGTGCTTGTAAAAAGATTGACTAAACTGCCTTACCAAGAAGATGATATATATTGAAATTTTGCTCAAGATATAGTTTTTATTTTCATTGTTAGAAACAGTTATTAGAAGTTAGAGAACCATTGAAAACCAGGGAGTACTGAACAGCTGCTGTTTCATCCTAGTTTGGGAATCATCGGAAGTATGCACCCACTGGGATTCGAACCCAGGACCTTCCAGTTACAAGGCAAGCTCGTATAGCATTCGGGTCCCAACCGGAAGGTCCTGGGTTCGAATCCCAGTGGGTGCATACTTCCGATGATTCCCAAACTAGGATGTGAAACAGTAGCTGTCCAGTACTCCCTGGTTTTCAATGGTTCCATAACTGATATCAATCCGTGATCAACTCGTAAAAAAATAACTAACCCTTACAAACCAAACCATAGAGAAGTTAAAGTAAAAAAATAAATAAAAGTAGTCAAAACAAATGCGGAAGTATCTTTTACATCCTGAACAATTCTACGATTTTAATGAACTTAGTTAGATGAGACAGCATAATAAGAATATCTTGGTTTACAATACACGAAGTTGTTCCATATTTTGTGCTACTGAATTCAAATTCTTCTCTAAAGTGGGTGTAACATCTATTGCTTAGTATCTATACATGAATTTAGTCGCCAAACTTCATTCACATATTTCAGTTCATTTTCTCCCCTACCCAGTATTGTCTTTTATAGTGGAAAAAATAAGCAATGTACTATGGTAACTTATATACAAGCAGGTTATAAAACATAAAACAATGGTCTACTGTCCACATATCATGTGGTAAATATAATGTTACACCAGCGAAATTTAATACTTTCTAAAGAAAGTCAAGCTATTTACAAAGAAATGTGTGTGTAAAATATATACTTATTTAGATAAGCACTTCTCAATACTGTTAACCACAACATTGTTACTATGACAACATGGAAAGGATCAGATGAATGGATTATGTTAGATAGAATAAAATATGCAGGTATGATGTATTTTAATACACGACGAAAAGTATTTTATACATTGAAACACTGAAATTGACAGATTGAGTTATCAGATAGTGGTCAAAATAAACCTAAGATGAAGAAACTATATTAACGACAGGCAAGGGATGAGAGATAGTAATTTGTTCCACAATATTTAGATAATGATGGGAAAGTGAATAATTTAATTTTATTGACACTTTATAGCTTCTTAGATGGTTTATTTTACATAACTGGTAGAAATGAAATAATTTTATGACAGGCTTTGTAAAGAAGGTATATCTATGAATTTACATATAAAACTAAGCGAGACACAGTAAGTAAGAAAAAGCTTTACTTAAATGTACAATTCAAAGGCGATACATCCAGCGTTATATTAAGCCGTAGATTAACGAGAGCAGTTGAAAGAACTTTTAATGCCGCAAAACTGCATGTCACTTTCTCAAGCAAACTGATATTGACACTGTGCATTAAAGATAGATTACCCAAAATGGCTACATCAGTGTGTGTATATAAATTCAACTTCTCCTGTGGAGCTAGTTATATAGGTTGTACCCAAAGGAATTTATCTTTATTCAATCGTGAACATATTCCTGTTTGGCTTGGGAAAAGAGCAACCAAATCATTAAATAGTGCGATTCTGTCTCATCTAGTGGATAGTGAACACAGCATCAAAGTAGTTGAGTCATTTACAGTTGGGTATCGAGTACCGAACAATCTCCCCAAATGCACACGATTACGCCACCTAGCCATAGCTGAGGCTATAGTGATTAATGGAGAGAGATCAGACCTATGTGTACAGAAAAAACTTATTCACTCTCCCTGTCTATCCTGGCCCACTATAAGGTCACCAGGATCACAATTTTTTCGTACTATTATTATCATTTTGTGATATCATGTCTTTATTACCCATTTCTCCACCCAGTTTCTTTCACCTCATTGTTACCCTTATTTTTGTCAAACTTTGTGATTTTATACTAAGCCTACCAATTTTGTAGCATCTTATTACAATTCACAATTTAGCCTGTTTATTTTATCATTAGACATTATCGGTCAGTCCTCACATTCAGTATCCCCTTTGTTAATGTGAGTTTGTATGTATTTTGGGTTTATCGCATTTTTCTCACCCCAAGGACACTTGTATTCTGTTAACTATAAAACAACACTATATCATCCAATTGTTCATTCACACTTCACCACATTTTTTCTGACTACACACCCTATACACATTAAATTGACTATGCTAACTAATGGACTATCATCTCAACTTACACATGCACCCCAATACAGTTTTTGATACTACTTTCATTTGCCTTTATTGGCTATATGTAATCTATTATTCATGGATTTATAACTGTAGAGCATGAAGAGGAAGTTATCGAAAACAATTGTTTGCTCGAAGTCTTGTTTTGATTTTAATACGGGGATTTTTTATTTACTAAATGATATTTTACAATAAATCAAGAAGTGATGGTTCATTAAGGTATAGTTTCAGAATGGTGGCCACATTGCAAACCTAACTGACAGAATTCAGTCTGCACCAAACAGAGGACTAGACACGTCACACTAGTTACTAGTGTCCAATCGAAATACCCACTACAGTCCCACTACAGGAGGTCAGTTGTGAGCCAAAGTAGCTCAGTAGTAACGTCTCTGACTTCAGCCTTCACTGGGTGACGCGGGTTCGAATTTCAGAAGAGACATGAGTTCCTTCGTGGTTGCAGATACGCCTTGCTGATGAGTGCCAACTAGCACGAAACCTAGGTCCAAGGCTTCCTGTGGCCGATTGCCTCCAACTCTCTAATATTATCAAAGGTATGGTCTAATGTTGGATACCTATGGTTATGATACACCTGCCCAAAATTTATACTTTCTTAGCTCTATATGAGAGCTGATACTGAGACGTTGATATAGGCTGATAATAGCGTACTTGAAGGTTTCGTAGGTTAATACTTTTACCCAATTTTCAAACAGATAGCAAAAATTAAACACTTAAGGTGAAAAAGAAACACAATAAAGTCTACCGTTGATTGTAGTAGACTTAAATATCGTCAACAAAGTGAGACATATTTTAGTGAGTTATTATGTTCAACCAACAAAATACTTGAATTGCTTGTAACGACTAACTGTTATGGTTAGTCACTAGTGTACTATAATGTTATATATTGCTGTCAATTACCTTATTTTACAGCTGTTTATGAATGAAAATGATATGTATCCACATATATATGTGTGTGTATGGTGATCTCTCTTTCTGTTTGCTCGCTTAGTCTGTGACCATTTCACTTTGATGAACCTGTCTCCTTTAACAATGTATATTCCCCTTATACTATATATAATATTAGTGTTTGTTGACAGTCCGTAGCTTGGTGACAGATATCCATATTATATGTGTGGTTGTTGACATGTCTGCTATATTTCGCTATGTATATATGGATCGATACTTCATTATAATTAGCCATTCATGTTAAGACTGTCTATTGATTGGTTCACACCCTTGTCTGGACATTCATATATATTTCGCTCTCACAATTTGTGTGACTTACTTTGGTGTGATACCACTTTTGCATTCTCCTTGTGTTTGGAAAATAGAAGTATCATCGCAAACCTAGTGGTCTTCTGATTTCCGCCTTCTTGCGTCAGGACTATTACATTCTCGACCAGTACATAGCAATAATTTGGCGACGAGTACATAACAATTTGGCGACGGGTAAAACCACTATTAACCACTCAGCAGCAGCAACATAACAGAAAATAAATAGTAAATTGAACCACTAACTCACCCATAATTTTTGTTTATCGTTGAGTAATTTAACTGCTTCATCAGATTCTATCTCTCTGACATCTTTTTGGATAGATAGTCCACTATCTAAAAATTACAAATGTGTATACAATTAATGGTCTTTTTCACTTATATATTATGTCTAAGTATGACTATGAAATTCACACTTTCAGTTAAGTAATCATTGGAAAGTGAAAACAGTTTTGAGCACCTTTTTCGTTTTACTTATGACTAGTCAAAAAATACATGATGTCTACTTCTTTGTTGAATAGAAGCTAAAACTTAAAGGTTTTGTGATCGAAAATTCACCTCAAAGAGCTATACTGAGCTGGTAGAGTTATGACTGAGAAATACAGCTGTGTATACCATATGGGAAATAGTCACCAGTATACACAGTATTATTTCAGTTAGGTGATACTTCTTCTACGAATAATAAAAATGCTCACTAGAGGCTGGAACTATTCAGGGGTTCTAGTGGGCTGTCGTGACCTGCAGGGTGTAGTAGGCTTTGCTTAAAGGCAAATACTCGCCACAGATGACAGTGGCTAGTGACCGTGCTATGTTGTGAATTGGCAGAAGTTGGAATCCACGCACTAACCATTGGATTGGGTCCCAGTGGCCTAATGGTCTACGAGCCTGCCTTGCAACCAGAAGGTCATAGGTTCGAACTTCCTATGGTAGATCCATGATTATGAAGAGTTCCAAACTAGGCTGACGAAACGACTGTCCAGAACTCCCTAATGTTTTTCCAATGGTTCTCCAACCATTGTTAGCTCATGATGGTATCTTGTAACCAATAAAAATTTTAGACTGAAAACAGAACATTTCACTTTTGAAAGGAAGAATAAATCGGTACTTCTCTTTCTTTTAATGATGTGTTTTCCTGGAAGTGTACTCTAAGATTATTATAGGTATTCAGCTTTGTTTATCAGACATGAAGACCCTAAATTCACATCGTCTTTATTTGATCTAAGAAAAGTTTACCAACTTTAGGTGAGCTTAGGTACAAAGGACACTTAAAGAAGAATAATATAAACGTAATTGGTGAATTTTAAATTCCCTCAATAAACACCTGATCTTTGTATATGCGAAGTTTTAGAAATTGTTGGATTTTATGTTTTGAGGATTACATCATCTTCTAGAGCATCTGATCCGATTAAGAATTTTTCCATGATTGGTTATTCCGCAAATAACCTATTTAGGAAATGTATAAATACTTTGAAGATGAACTTCTCTATTCATCAGTCAAATTTATCACAGAAATTTTGAGTCTCTGGAATTAATCGATTTGCATTGTTGCCGACTATCAGCCTATTCTCTCTTGAGTAACCATATATTTATCGTATTTTTTTAAAAATCTAGTCATCTGATGACTAGTGTTCATTGTCAAAACATCCTTCACTTTCTTATATTTTACCACGAAACATTGTGAAATCTGAAAAAGATTTTACTTGGAGTCCAGCAAAAGGAATCTCGTGATACCAACTTGTTCATTAGTGGGTTCTGACAATAAACAATGGAATTTTAAAACATGTGTAAAACATGGGTACTATGGTAGTAAGTGAAATAGTATTATTTATTGGATGACGTTTCGATTAAAATTTATTGTTCATAATCATTTCATCAATTATAATTACACGACTTCGAAACTTGAGTTTTATAGTTTCCTTTGTCCTCTCCTATTTGTCATCTTTGGGGTAGTAGGATTTTCCAGATATCTGGTTGGACAGGTGTTGAATCATTCCTATTACACGTATTGCTTCGCAGTTGATTCGATAAACAAAGCTTCCGTTATCAACCTCTCCCTCCACCCTGTGACATTAGATTTTAAAACTGTCATCCTATCCCATCCTATTGTATGGTTCTGTGTAACTGCATGCAGTGAGTGGTATAGCTGAACTATTCTCCAGATTTCTTATCTTATTCGAGTCAACTAATCTAGATTTTGCTGGTAGGTTTTTATGTTCGGCTAGTCTGACTGCCGCTGTTCTACTAGTTTGACCTATGTATTTGACCTGACAATCATTCCAGCAGGGTTTTGTTTTGTTTTAAAGGCTCCACTGGCCGGATACAAAGCTTGTTTCTAATTGACTTTGTGGGTGGTTTGAATGCTAGCCACTTTTATTCCTGTCTGCCTTGTTAAGAAGTCTGCGTAAGGTGGTTTCCGAGGTTCCTTCCTTGTATGGAATTACTGTTGATGATTTAGATTCCTTATTGTTGGTGTCGTCATTAACATTATTGTTATTATTATTATCATTATTATTGTTATCATTATCAGTATTGCTAGTATCATTATTTATTTTATTTTTACATTTCCTTGCATATTCCCTGACTAATTTATCCGGGTAATTATTAAGTTTCAAGGCTTCTTCAGAATACAAGATATAGATAGATTTTCGAACACATCAACTCGAAGATATAGGCGATTCAATTCACTTATGAATTGGAAAGTCAGGAAGGGGAGCTTCCAATGTTAGATTACGACGTAAAAAGGAAAGAAGATGGGAAGTTAAATACTAGTCTTTACAGAAAACCCCCACATTCGAACAGATATTTTGACTTCCGATCATGCCATCCTATGTCAGTGAAAATAGGATTAGTGAAATGTTAACGTGACAGAGCACAAAAACTAAGTGGTACCAAAGAAAATCTAAGACAGGAAGTGAGGCATATAAGAGAAGCGATGAAACTTAATAATTACCCTGATAAATTAGTCAGGAAATATGCAGGGAAAATGTAAAAATGAAATAAGTAATGATAGTAGTGACGTTGATCAACTGCAAATACATCTAATAGGAATGATTGAACACCTGTCCGAGATATCTGGAAAATTCTACTACCTCAAAGACGACAAATAGGAGAGGACAAAGAAAACTACAAAACTCAAGTTTCGAAATCGTGTGATTATAATTGATATGATTACGAAGCACAATAAATTTAGTTCGAAACGTCATCCAGTAAATAATAATATTTCACTGTGAGATACATCTAATAAACAAACTAATATGAAACAATGGAATTTCACTTACATTTTTATTAATTGGTTTATGTTTTAGTTTTGGATTTTATATATATATATATATATATATATGGACAGTATTTTTCGGAAACAGAGTTGCTGATAAGTTTTATTTTGATTGATGGTGATTAACAGTGGAACTCAAGATGTGTAGTTCATCCTACTTGGGACTCGTCAGCTGGATTTATCTGAATCTGTAGTGTGCTTATTTTCCCATTAAGACTGGAACCAAGGCCTCTCATGCCAAAAACGTTATCCATTAGGTCACTGAATAATGCTGAATAACATCATGTTAGTGTTTAGATATCGTCAAACCATGCGCACTATCAGCCGGTATGTTAACAGAAACTGAGCCCCTCAGTCCAACATAATTATTTATATTGATTTAATTAGTGAATCCAGGTGTGTATCACGAAGAAAAGATATATCCTAAAATTGAGTGTGATAACAGCTTGTGATCTGTTAGGACATGAAAGTATTAAAGTATTTCCCTTCACTTCATGTATCTAAAATCCTTTTTCCTAATCATTTACTTATAAAAAGCATTTTTTTTAGCTTAGAGATACTTGCCTTCATTTCTAATTAAGAGATTTTTCCTTGAATTCCCATTTGTAATCATAACTCTAATACTTAGAGAATATTTTTAAATTTATGAATAGTTTTTTTGTCTATTAAAGTTGCTTAAAACGCAAAACTCAGTTCATATGAAATCTTAAAACAATTTGTCCCTTTGATAAATTTGAACAAGGCATTAAGAAGACAAATTTCATGAGATGATATCAATCCAATAACAAACTTGGTTTCCTGGATATTACTATGACTAGGAGAAATGATGGAACGATTCAGCGCTCTATTTTTCGTAAACAAACATGGAGTGTACAATATCTTCATTTTATCAGTTTTGTTCCTATCCAGTATAAACACTCCCTAGTGAAATATTTGTTCTCAAGGGCCCTAACAAAATGCACGAGTTACACACTGATGGATGAGTTTCGACATGTACATTCAGTTTTATTAGCTAATGGTTATCCGGAGAGCTTTATCACTTGTCACAGTAAAGATAGACCACATCTCGAAAAGACGGCTTCTGTACCAAAGAAAGCCATCTTTATTAACCTACCATTCAAGGGCGACCAGATTATGCAGTTCGAAGGCAGCTCAAAGACTTCGATCAGCCATCAAACGCGCATTCTACGCCGCAACACCCTTTTTCTCACATACCGAACATTTTCGATCCGTGTTCCTATGATTAAAGGACGAAATTCTGTGGACTCTACTTCAAACTGTATCTACAAGTTCACGTGCACCTGGGGGAACACCTATATAGATAGAACCAACACAATGTTTCAATGTCGTGGACGAGAAGAACATGTTCCAAAATGGCTAGTAAATCATATCGAAAATCCTAACGCGATTAATCTTATTAGGAATCCAGCATCATGCATTGCAAAACACTTATTAATGTCAGGTTACAAAATCAATATTAGAGATTGTTTCACAATTATTTCATCACATAACTCCAATTCTAGGTTGGTTATTGAAGGTGATGGAAGCCCTTTGGATTAAGCATATGGAGCCTAAACTGTGAGTACAAAAATCAATAGACTTCAATCTTCGCTTCCATGGACTGCATGGCCTATCTTAATATGATTTGTCATTAGTATGTACTTTTTTTGTTTTATATAGCTGAGTAATTTTCATGAACTTTATTGTATCATTGTTATCCATGTTAGTTGTAAAGCGGTTGTAAAGAAACTACGAAATGATATCATCTCGCGAAATTTGTGTTCTAAATGCCTTGTTCAAACATATGAAATCTGTTAGGGTATATCTGGAATTTACTTGTCATCTATAAAAAACTGGTAACGTTCGTTACATCACACCAACAGGGACAAGTGTTTGGGTCTACGTAATAAGTAAAAACAACCATAGAGTGCAATATCTACAATATTTTCCTTAAGTCTTAATGAATAAAAAAAAGCAAGCAGTGAGTAATTTCAAGGAACCAGCTACATCAAATCCAACTTTTGTAGTGTTTAATCCCAAAGGTTTTTTTATTCCTTCACGTTCCCAGTAAATCGTAGGGTTTGAAGTTTCGGTAGCAGTGGTACTTATTTTTTACGGGATGGGTTCGCTAACCTCATGCCCAACCTTCCCTCTTCACCGTCTCATTACCAGCTTAGCGAGGTAAAGAAGTACGTCTGCTGGTGATCGAACCCTGAACCACCTGCGTGATGATTGACGAAGATTCTACAGTTGTGCCACTGATACACAGGCTGGGGTCCTCGGGACGGTAAAAATCTATGGTTGGAAACAATTGGTGACATGGCTCAAAACCGTTCTCAGTGGCGCAGATGCATCCTCTCCCTGTGACTTATGATCTTCAATGAAACTGTTTTGTTTTTCTTTATTACTCCTTTGTCTCACACCTCTGCTCACTGTTTCTATTATGCTTTTCTTGTACTTTCTTCTCTTGCTTCGCGTGCTACACGGAATGTGGCGACTCGAACTTCCGCACATTTGTGCAAAGTTCTATGTCGAAAACAGACAGACAGACAGATACACTGATGGCTTCGAAGGTTTAGTTTAAACTGAAGAAATTTACTGGTTTACAAAAACTGTTATAAAATGTTGGTATGCCTATGAGACACAAAAATCAGCTCACTTGGAAGCTCCTGAATTCCCTGTATTTATAATATAAACGGATTTAATTTCATATTCGATAAATAATCACATAAATAACATCATTAATATCTAGAACCAACTGATTCCAGGAGAATTATATAATGAAAATTAGTTAATTACCTCCACTTCTATAACTTTTCAATGTACTACATTCTGACTGTTCAGATCTTGTTTTATTGTAACAACTTTTTCCAGACGATTGTGCTTTTGGATCGTCGATTTGATCACTTGCACATGACACACACTTGGCAATATCATCTTCGGATTCATGTACATGAAAAGCTTTGACAACTGATTTAATCGGTTTAAATTCTTTAGAAGTTCGTCTAAACTTATGATCAACTGTTGTAGAAGCTGGTTGAATGTCTTCCACTTTCCACTGTTTACGAAGACATTCAGGATAACTTTCAAACATGTTGTAAAGGCTATCATTTGCATCGTATAACTTTTTGTTGATGTCTCTTAAAGGCAAAAAAATAAAGATATTCAATGATAAAGTCTAGCTTTGGTATAAAAAAAGAGTTCTAAATATAGTTTATGTTAGCATTATAAATTCAGCATAATTATTAAACCTGTAAAATAATAAAAATTTATTCCACAACAAATAAATGTACATGACCGATTAAATTTGGCTTCGTGTTTGTGTACACCATTCTAAAGGGTGTATTCAGGCAGTGTAGTGAATGAACTGTAGCACTTTTTGGTAGAAATTTGAGCTTTTTACAGTCGTTAGGTTTAATGAGGTGTAAGGTAATTCAGTTTCAAATTGATAGCAATCTCGGTTGTAAATCAGCTGTCACCATATGGTAAATACACTTTTCAATATAGAAAAAAGAATCATCATTTAGACATTTAGAAAGTCAAATGATTGAGCGAAGAAATATCTACTTTTCAATTAGATCATCGTCTTTGCATGTACTCCGATATATGTATGTAGCATTTTTAATACAATACACAACATCTTACCAAACAAGTGACGATATGTTTGTTAACAATAATTAGCCAGTATCAGCATGTCAGGGCGTGGATGATAATTAACGAAGAAAGTTTAGGACACACAACTGAAGGGTAGAAGTGGTTACACCAAGTGGATTGCACAATGCGTGATTTCGAGAAAATGAAGAGTAATTAAGGAGTAAGCTAAATGTTCAATTTGATTACGTAGAAGAAAAGTGAAGAAAAATAAAACCATTCGGACAATGATAACTAGTAATTAAAGATGAAATTGTCCGAAAAATAATTTGAACAGTTATAATTTTTAAAAGGCTTAGTGAGAGGACGAAGCAGGCAGGTTTATATATTCATGTAACGATGGCCAAGGTAAGAGAAGTAGCTATATGAATTTCTTCGAAACACACACGTTTCGCTTCATCAGGTTGATTCTGATGGTTTCAAGTCTATGTAGAAGACGAACTCGTTAAGTAAAATTAAGATTATTTGGAACGTGGTAAGTAAATTTATATGGTGGAATGACATCAACTTTATGCTAACTATCTACCAGGTATGCTGAAACAGAGCTATGCATGGATCTTGTTTGCTCATTTCTTAAGCATGCAGGATGGTGTTGGGAAATGCGGTGATGAACCTGCCTTAATCGTGTTTATTCCCTAATTACTCTTCATTTTCCTGAAGTTACTCATTACGCAATCCACTTGGTGTAACCTTTTCTACCCTTCGATTGTGTGTCTTAAACATTCTTCGTTAATTATCACCCGCACACTGACATGCTGATACTGACTAATTATTGTTAACAAACATATCGTCACTTGTTTGGTAAGATGTTGTGTATTGTATTAAAAATGCGTCGGTGGCACAGCGGTTAGGTCTCTAGCCGACCAAGCGCATGGTCCGGGATTCGACCCCCGACGGACGAACAACCGATATCTATGGTCGGCCTGCAAAATTTGGGCTGCCGATATCACATGCTGAAAATTCCATACTTGTACCAAAAATACGGTGTGACATAAAGCTATAATCAAAAAAAATAAATAAAAAAAATACATATATGGTAGAAGATCCAAAGGCTATGATCTAATTGAAAAGTATACATTTCTTGGCTCAGTCCTTTGTCTTGCTAACTACAGTTTTATAGAAAGTAAATTCATGATTAGAAGGTAGGTCATGCAACCATCTACTCTAATGTGGATAAGCTTCAGTGTGGAAGTGTGTAAATAGGCAAGTTACATGCAATTTTTTGGATATATAAAGCTGAAATAGTACTACTGAAAAATATATGAACATGTCCTCATGGAACTTCAATGTTTAAATCAAGTAGTTGTTTTAATTTTGCGGATTAATAAAAAGATATTTATGGGTTGAAACCAACTTACTTCACTTGAGAATACTATCTTAATGTTTGCAGTGGTAAGGATTGGATTTATTTGTATTTTTGCGAAAAAATTAGCTTCATAAAGAAATGCTATTCAAACGACTATTTTTTAAACGATAAAAAATGTGTTTCTGTTAATTTCCCTGTATATGGGACCTCAAATATCTATAGCGACTGATTTATTAGAGTCCAAAAGCTGAGGGCGTCAATATACAATACTTCATTTGATGATATAATTGCACCTTAAAAGGCAGATTTTGCTTTTTTCTCATGATTACAAGGCAGAATAATAAAACTCTTATTAATGCTTCCGATAAATGCTCATAGAAGTTAGGTGGGATACCTAAGTCTTCTTAAATGATATTCAACAAATTATTTTCTTATGTAACTAAGGTTTGGAGTAAACACAGAAGTCATAAAGGGTGCTTATTATCATCAGTGATACTCCGATTTTGTGGTGGACTGGCTTATGCGTCAGACAGTGACTGAGAAACGAGCAGACAGGGATATCCTGGATTGACGTGAACAACCTAGAAGACCTGGATTCCGCGCGTGGATGATTTATGTTTGATGTCACACAAAATCGAAGACTTTCCAGCGAAAACCGACAAACTGGTGGAATAAGCAGCCGGAGAAGATAGGACTCCAAGTGAACATAGACAAGACGGAGGTTATGAAAATAACCAACCAACAACAACATCAACGACAACAGAAACATCCAACGACAATCACCATCAACGGGAGGGATTTGAAAGAGGTTACACATCATTCACTCACTGATCTAAGGAGCATTGTCTCAACTACAGGAAGTCGGAACGGACGAGGATGTCGAATCGAGTGAGAATCAGGAAGGCGAGAAACACATTCATCAACCAACCTGAAACCAATCTGGAAATCTTTGTCACTCAGCATCAACAACAAAATTCCGTCGGATTTTCAATACAAACGACGTCAAGTCAGTCACTTCTTCGGATCAGAAACGTGGTGGGCGGGTCACAAAGAACAGGTAGTTCCAACAGCCTGTTGCACGCATATATCAACCAACAACTGTTTCCGCTGGCTCTATACTGAATATCAGATGGCCGAATCGGAAATAATCACCAACAAGAAACTATGGCTGGGAACAAAGAAAAGAAGAACCAATCGCCAAAGAAGTGTGCATAAGAAAGTGGATTGAGATGGACTGGACACTCGCTGAGGAGGAGGCCAGTGGGTGACATCGCGCGCGCGTCAGTCCATTGCTCGAGTGGAACCAGGCCGAAAGGGAAGCGGTGAGTGGGACGTCAGTGCAAGGGTGTCATGGAGGAGATGGTGTGAAGAGGAGTTGAAAGAGTCTGGACTAACATGGATGCATGTGAAAAGTTCAGCAGCAGAAGACAGAAGCAAGTGGAGACGTGGAGTTGAAGCCCTATATTTCACTAGGAACCCAAGGGAACAATAATATAATATAACAATAATCAAGGTCTGTGTTTCCGAAAAGATAAGCTGTAAAGTTTATAAAACTTATATCCGACTATAGTTAACCTAACAAAAATATAGATAAACTAATGGACTGTTAACGTTATGTTATGTACTATTTCTAATTTAGACATACTTAAAAGATTTCCTGTCTGTATATAGAAGTCTAGACAATAAAAAAAACATCATCCATTCGTGAACTTAAAATTTGAACTCTTATGAATTTTTATACAAAGTAGAGAGAAATTCAAAGGACATCAAGTATGCTATGCTGAAAAAAACAAATTGTTTCTAGTCGATTAATCTTTTAAATATAAATGACAGACTTACTGCAATATTCCCACTTGACGTTTTAGTGTTGAGTTTTCTTTGACTGTTTCAATTAGCGCAGACATATGACTAAAAAATAAAATAACAAAAGTCGTCTTTTTTTGAATCTTTATAATGAATGATGAACGTTTCATGCGAAATGAAAATGGTTTTCCCAATGAATTTAGCGCTTTAAGTTAAAAAAAGGCTTTCATTTGACAAACTAATCGCATTCTTGTTATTATTCATAAAAGATACTGAAGTTATAAAACGACAACCTAAGCATCGAGGAGCTATTTACGCATAATTGTTACCACTGGTGGGCGAATTTAAATTTTAAGCACCACTCACTACCAACGGAGTGCAACCGCACCAGTGACCTTGAAACGCTCACTGAGCAAGTTAGTGAAACTTGGCAAATAATGTTGTCATCATCAAAAAAATATGCTCATCGTAGAGCTATGTTATCAAATAGGATATATAGCAAGTTTCAGCTTAGGTTTGGGAAAGATTAAGTTACGCTTTAAGCCAAGGGCAAGTTAAGGTAAGGTAAATCTAACGAAGGCGACAGTAAGTGTGGTTCGAGTTATATCACAGTTAGCTTAGAGATATCTTCAGGTAAAGGAAAGATCAGGGTTACTGTTAGGGTTGGAAGACTTAAATAATTACATGCATAGAATGTGATTAAATTACTCTGTTGGCATCAGAACAGAACTTATGCACTATGGCAGAGTATAATTCCATTGTGAGTAAAACTTATTTTGGTTAAGTCTCAGGGTGTTATACAGTAATATGTGCTGATGACGTTTCAAGCACCATTTATTGCTGAATAAATATAACTGCATAACATTATGAGGCTCTGTCAAAATAAGTTTTATCTACAAGGGAATTATACTCTGTTGATGCTCCAACCTAAAACTGAAAGCTATCTTTATCACACGTGAGAGGAAGGTATGCTGGGCAACATTTTTATACAGTTTTTCTGCAATAAATGTATTCCATACACAAAATGCCTCCATCACATGATTGGTGCGTTTGAGATCATTCACTGATTGGGAGTTACTGGTGCTTAAAGTTTAACTTTGCCCACTAATAAAGTCACTCCAACAGTATTGCATTGTATTTTAACGACGAAATGTACAGTTGTTGATCTACACTTCGGTCTTGTTGATGAAGGCAGGTAGATTTATATGACTTGCAGTTTCTAATTTGCTAATCTGAGAAGTACTATTTACACAAAACGAATCAGTCTTCAGATATGATGATAGCCATTTTTACTGTTTTGCACACTCTGTCAATGATAAGAATTGGTTTTACAATTACCCTTGTTATTCAGGTGTTTATTTTGGAAATTGAACTTATTGGAACATTGATCAAAAACTGACTCTCTTTAAAGAGATATTGAAAACGTTGGTGGGTAAGAAAATTAATCAAATAAAGTATTCTGTTTAATTTGTGGATGCTGACTAGCAGTGGAATCCAGGATGAGCATTTCGTCCTACTTGGGATTTGTCAGCTGGATGTACCTGCATTTCCCAGTGAGTGATGACGTTCCCACCAAGGCTCAGACATCGTCGAAACATCTGCACAAGAACCCGACATGTCATCCTGAGATCGAGCACTTCGGTCCGATCAAGCGACGGGAAAATCTCAGATTCAATTAAAGCATTCTGTTTTCATCATTCAAATCTCGAGTCAAAGTGGTAACACTTTAGGCGTGAAAATACACTAGAAAAACAGTAAAAGCTACATTAGTCTCTTCTGAACAAATAGGCATTTGTATGATTTCAAATGGCGCGATGATAAGCTTATGTTTATTCAAGAATGTGAAATAACTATTCATTTATCTTTTGAAGCATATAAAAAGAAAATGTATGGAATGAAGAAGAGGAAAGTGAGAAAAAAACTTTTGATGACTTACACTGCACCTGTGAAGTCAGTTACATAGGCCGTGCAATTAAGTGCAAATTTCCGAACATCACCCTACGTGGTTAAGTAAAGGACAAACGAAATCTATTCGCAGAGCTATTCTATCTCATCTTATGGATACGAAACACAAGATTGACGTTAACCATACTTTCAGGGTCATTTATCGCATACCTAAGGAATCTCAATTTTCCTTAAGAGTTCAACTACTAAATATTGCTGAGGATCCATATTAACAAGTCTAATTTATGCATCCAAAAGAAGTTAGTTCAGACGTTTTCATTACTTTAGCCACCTAGGTTTGAATGATCCTGAATTTTTGTGGAATTTTCCTAACTTTAGACATGATTCGTATGGCAGGACAGACAATTTTTAAAACAAGAGATGTACTTTTATATATAAACATACAATTTTATTTATTATACATGTTGATGCCTGTTGCATGGCTCATGATTGGACAAAGTTTCAAATCAAGAGATGTTCCTTATATATATATATATATATATATATATAAACCTCTGTTATGTTAATTTCGATGAATTTACCTAAAGAAGTTCGGACCAGATTGCCGAACGAAAAGTTGGAATTAATCATTCCAATTTCGCTGAAATTTTACAAATATAATTTTATACATGTCTACTTCTCACTCGGGGCTCAATTATTTTGCAACTATCCGGTCAAATTTTGATCACAGTTCATATGAATAAATGCTCTGTTGTAATTATTACACTTACAGTCATCATTTTGACGTATCTGAATGGGACAAACTGTGAACACTGTATTACATTAAAAATCATTTGTAACTTACTGTTCCAACTCTTGAGTTTTGTCATTTAGACTTTGTCGGACTGCATTAAACTCTGATCGTGACTGGGCTAATTGTAATCGAGTATTGTCTAAATCTTCTTCCAGATTGTAGTTTTCTTGATTTACTTGTAAAATTTTTGTCTGTAATTTAATTATTCGTGAATCATCCAGTTCAGTGTTCTTTAATACAATAGTTTGATTTTGAGTTTCTCTTTGATGGATTTCTTGCTAATACAATAAGTGTATAGAGTATATGAATGTTATTATTGTTATTGGAAAATTATTTACTGAATTAACAGTGGTCTGAAATTAAAAACTTAGTAACAAGATGAATTCATGAATGAATAGTTTTCAGGAGTTTACCTCGTTTGGGCCTACATTATCTGGCTTATTATATAAGCTGTGTGATTACTTTTGTTTTTTAAAAGAATCAAAAAGTGAGCATGTTGCATTTTCATTTCAAAAAATTAACACTAAGATGACACTTTGACAATGTTGGTTTCAAGATTTGGAATGATGATGATATCAGTCACTTAGTATTTATTATATTATTTATTGTTCCCTTGGGTTCCTAGTGGAACTTAGGGCTTCAACTGCACGTCTCCACTTGCTTCTGTCTTCTGCTGCTGAACTTTTCACATGCATTCATGTTAGTCAATACTGTTTCAACTCCTCTTCACATCATCTCCTGCATGTCACCCTTGGACGTCCCATTCTTCGCTTCACCTTCAGGTTCCACTTGAGGGCCTGACGAGCGATGTCATCAACCGGCCTCCTTCTCAGCCAGTATCAAATCCATCTCCACCTTCTCCTGCATATTTGTTTGTTGGGGATTGGTTCTTGTTTTGTTTGTTCCCAGCCATAGTTAATTGTTGATGATTCTTTCCGGCCCCGCCATCTGATATTCAGTACAGATCCAGCGAAGGCAGTTGTTGATTTATGAAGGTCTGCAACAGGCTGTTGGAAATGTTGTCTGTGACTCGCCTGCCAAGTTTTTGATCCATATAGAAGAGCTGACTGACTTGACGTGTTTGTATTGAAAATCTTATCGAATTTTGTTGTTGATACTGAGTGGACAATTGTTATCAAATAGATGTTATTTCCTTTAGGGTTGTCATTATTTCTGAGATTTTATAGACTGGTTTAAGTTATCGAAATGAGGCTGTATTACAGGATTTCCTCATTAGCTGACATCAGTTATAGAACCACTGGAAAACGTGCAGGGAGTACTAGACAGCTGTTTCGTCGTAGTTTGGGACTTTTCAGTGATACGCACCCACAACAAGGGTTCGAACCTAGGACATTCTGGTTACAAGGAGAGCCAACTGGTAGACCACTGAGCCACTGGGACCCGATCCAATGGTCAGTGCATGATATCAAACTTCTGCCAATTCACGACATAGTGCGACTATTTAGCAATGTCTTCTCCGATGACTTACTGCCTCGTCTTCAACCTGATGTACCCTACTGGTCAGGGCTCCTCACTAGAACCCCAGGTTACTTGCCTGAATAGATTCAGTCGCTAGTGAGCATCAGATTAATTTTCAGGTATTGGTTATTTAGGGATTTCGTTTGATTGCATAGAGGATTTCATCATGAGCTGACAACAGTCACTTTTATTTTCATTTATCTTTAATCTTACGAAGTTTTAACAGTTAGCACAGAATAGGAGGTTATAAAAATTCAACTGACTCATTCAGTTGACCGTTGCTTTCAAACGTCTGATTAAATGCAATAGAAGTAGAATGCGTTTCGATGATCTAACTAAGTCGTTAGCCCATCTAAATTTTCTACCCTTCAGTATCTATCGTTTTTACCCCATTTCAAATTTTTTAACCTTCTAACTATCCAAATGAGTCACAATCTGTGCTCACATACAATTTCAAATGAGCTTCTAACTACTGTTAGGAGTTTTTCTAGGGAAGTCGAGAAAGAACATTGTAGAGTAGCGTTGGAGAGTAATTCGGATGGAATATTATTTCTTCAGATGATAAATTGTAGACTGTAATATTATATGAAGATCCTGAACAAGGGATCAATACCTAAAATGTGTGTGGAACGTTGGCACTGTGGTAATAAGTAATTCCAAATTAGATTGTTTATTAGATGTATCACACAGTGAAACAGTATTATTTACTGGATGACACAGTTTTGAACAAAATTTATTGTTCATAATCATATCAATTGTAATCACACGACTTCGAAACTTGAGTTTTATAGTTTTCTTTGTGCTGTCCTATTTGTCGTAGGGGCAGTGGAATTTTCCAGATATCTGAGACACGTGCTGAATCATTCCTATTACACGTATTTGCAGTTGATTCGATAAAAAATATTCTGTTATGAATCTCTCCCTCCGTGACATTAGATTTTGAAACAGTCATCGTATCCCAACCTATTGTATGGTTCTGTGTAACTGCATGCAGTGAGTGCTATAGCTGAACTATTCTCCAGATTTCTCATCTTATTCGAGTCAACTAATCTAGATTTTGTTGGTAGGTTTTTATGTTCGGCTTGTCTGACTGCTCCTGTTCTACTAGTTTGACCTATGTATTTGATCTGACAATCATTCCAGCAGGGTTTTGTTTTGTTTTAAAGGCTCCACTGGCCGGATACGAAGCTTGTTTCTAATTGATTTTGTGGGTGGTTTGAATGCCAGCCACTTTTATTCCTGTCTGCCTTGTTAAGAAGTCTGCGTAAGGTGGTTTCCGAGGTTCCTTCCTTGTATAGGATTACTACTGATGATTTAGATTTCTTATTGTTGGTGTCGTCATTGATATTATCATTATTATCACTATCGATAATACCATTATTTATTTTATTTTTACACTTCCATGCATATTTCCTGGCTAATTTATCAGGGTAATTATTAGATTTCAAGGCTTCATTTATGTGTATCACTTCCTGTCTTAGATTTTCCTTATTACTTAACAAGGCAGACAGGAATAAAAGTGGCTGGCATTCAAACCACCCACAAAGTCAATTCGAAACAAGCTTTGTCGGTTAAAGGATCCTGCCAGTGGAGCCTTTGAATCAAAACAATCTGGTTTATCTAATACCCTCCTGGAATGACTGTCAGGTCAAATACATAGGTCAAACTATTACAACAGGGGCAGTCAGACAAGCCGAACATAAAAACCTACCAACAAAATCTAGATTAGTTGACTCGAATAAGATAAGAAATCTAGGGAATAGTTCAGCTATAGCACTACATCCAGTTACACATAACCACACAATAGGTTGGGATACGATGACTGTTTCAAAATCCAATGTCACGGAGGGAGAGATTCATAACAGAATATTTTTTATCGAATCAACTGCAAATACGTGTAATAGGAATGATTCAGCACGTGTCTCAGATATCTGGAAAATTCCACTGCCCCTACGACAAATAGGACAGCACAAAGAAAACTATAAAACTCAAGTTTCGAAGTCGTGTGATTACAATTGATATGATTATGAACAATAAATTTTGTTCGAAACTGTGTCATCCAGTAAATAATACTGTTTCACTGTGTGATACATCTAATAAACAATCTAATAAGGAAGTAAATACCTAGACTTGAAACTTTCAGGAAATTCTCTGCTGTGTATGGACGCCTTTTTTTTAGAATAAGGCTGTTATTATTATTATTAAAAGTAAAAGCAGTAGATAAATAGAATAATATTGATTAAGGATAGCCAAAAATTTCAGCTGACCTCTTCAAGGTGTTTTACTTTTGATTTGAGCTGTTTTATTTGTAGTGATTTTGTTTCGAGTTCATTCGAGAATTTTATCATGGCTGATTCTCTTTCTTTAAGTCGCGCTGATTCTTCAGCCAATTTTACTTGATTATCTAATTCTTCAGATAGACGAAATATTGCTTCACTATGCTTAACACGTTCACTAGATTGTAAGAAAGTAGTAACATAGAAAGAATTTACGTGAAACGACATTATTTCATTTCAGTGCATCTGAATAAAAAAGGTTATATAAATGGTTAATGGTTACTTTACAACAGACTGTTTACAATGGCTTATACACAAGCCACGTAACTGAAAAACGTAAACAAAGTTTTCTTATGGTCCATATTATTATTATTATCGCTGTAGAATATGGTAAAGTGGACTGACTGCCTCATAGGGTCTAAGAAGATAGCCATACTTTTGACTGATCGAAATACGCTGGAACATCTGGATTTCGTAGAGGATTTGAATATCATATCTCCCAAAACTTGAAGAATAACATTCGAAAACCGGTAGATTGACACATGAAACAGAAAGACACGACATCTGGTGAACACAGAGCTGATAAAGATACCATACCAACGATAAAAAGAAACCATCATAAACAGAAGAAATCTAAAGAAAATTATTACTTTCTTTTACCCGACCTACGTAGGAATCATACTTCCAACTACAGACAACACATATGAGGTTGTTAAAACCAACCATGATTGGTACAAGCTAGCAGTACAGCTGTTCATCCCATTGAAATCAGCACTGATATCCACAGAGCCTAGAACACACAAACAAATCCGAATTTTCAAGACTAATGTCAAGATAATGGACGTCCCACTCGCCGCTTCCCTTTCGGCTCAGTTCCACTTGAGCAATGGCCTGACGCGCGCGCGATGTCACCCGGTGGCCTCCTCACCGAGTGTCCGATCCATCTCCACTTTCTCCTGCATATTTGTCTCGCGACTGGTTCTTGTTTAGTTTGTTCCCAGCCATAGTTTCTTGTCGGTGATTCTTTCCGATCGGGCCATCTGATCTTCAGTATAGAGCCAGCGAAAACAGTTGTTGGTTGATATATGCGTGCAACAGGCTGTTGGAACTACCTGTTCTTTGTGACCCGCCCGCCAAGTTTCTGATCTGTATAGAAGGACTGACTGACTTGACATTTGTATTGAAAATCCGACTGGATTTTGTTGTTGATGCTGAGTGACGGAGATTTCCAGATTGGTTTCAAGTTGGCGGTGAATGTGTCTTCACCTTCCCGATTCTCACTCGATTCGACATCCTCGTCCGTTCCGACTTCCTGTAGTTGAGACAATGCTCGCTAGATAAGTGAATGAAGTAACCTCTTTCAAATCCCTCCCGTTGATGGTGATTGGCCCATTTTAATGTAGTTCCAGAGAACCAAGTGTGCTGTTGATTAGCTATTGAAGCTGTTTGTTCCACTTGGTACAGGAAGAATAAAAATAATTATAATGCATGTACGAAAGAGCTTATCAATCAGGGTTTTCTGTAGCACAATTACTTTTGGTTATAAATGCAAATTCGCTTCACTTGTCTACAATCATATAAGGCGAAAGGAGATTAGCCTTCTGTCTATGTTAAGCTCGTTTACAGTTCTCACCTCTACTACTATTATATTATTTTGAGTTAATCTTCTACAAATAATCATACCTGTATAAACGATTTATACAGCTTCAAAAGTACATCTCTTTTAATCTTATCTTTGATCTAATTACTTACTAAAACTATTGAAAACTGAATACCTCGATTTGTTTTAATCCCTATTTCTAAGAAATCTTTGCTAGTCATTTATTTTTAAAGCATAAATAGAAAAAATATTATCACTTGTTTGAGTTCACTTGGCCAAGGACATGAGTTAATATATATTATGGACGGAAATCATGATACTCTGTGTATTAGCCTAGAATAGAGTAAAGTTTATTTGATATCACTACTGTATAGGATTATTTGTTTTTATATGTCTTCATGATCAGTTAAGGTTATTATCACCTTTGAAGTTAATTTCTTCACTAATGCTTTCACTTTGATAGACAGTTAGTTGTTTCTTATTATATCTAATTAGTTTATAACCTAGTGATAAAATAATATTTATGCATTGTAATGTAGAGTGTATTAAAATGTCCACTTCACAGATAAGCGATCACATTAATATTATTATTCCCTTCAGTTTCGAGTAGAGCATAGGTCTTCAACATCAGTTGGATCCATTTTCTGTTGTCCTCTTCATCTGCGTTCACGATCACCCATAATATCTCAACTCCTCCTCCAACTTGCACGATCTACTCCATGTCACCAACGACAGACTTGTTGCTTCCCATTCACCTTCCACTCGAGCGATGGCCTGCATTGCGCGCGATGTCATTTGATGGCCTCCTTAACGTATGCCGGATCCATTTCCATTCTCTTCTGCATATTTGTTGAGCGATCGGCTCTTGGTTTGGTATGCTGCCACAGTTTCCGGTTGCTGAAACTTTCTGCCTGGTTGGCTGGCCATTTTATCTTCAGTACAGAGCCAACGAATGGGGTATTTGTTGATAAAAGTCTGTAAGTTATTAAAAATCCTCTTCGGGGCACTCAGTGTAACTTTCTGACCAGTATAGAAGTGACTGACATCACATTTGTGCTGAAAATCTGAATCTTGTTCTTTATGCTAAGTTAGTGCAGAAGATTTCCAGAATGATTTCAAGTTGATTAAGGTGTATCTTGCATTTCTGATTCTGAATGGCTTTGAAATCTTCATCCTTTCATCTGGCTGTAGTTGAAACAATGCTTCCTAGATAAATGAAGGAAGTTATCCCTGTCAAATCTCTTCCTTTGAAAGTGATTAGTGCTGTTTGTTGTGTTTGCTTTTGGATGGTCATCTTTATCACCTCCGTCTTCTTTATGTTCACTTGAAGTCCTGTCTTCCCTGTGAACTTAATCAGCCAGTTTTTTCGGTCTTCGCCTGTCGGTCATATTGAAGTAGAAATCTTCGTCAAAAGTATACAGAAACTTCGTTTTAAGCTTATATCACACCTAACGTGAACATTCATAGGTTTATTTAAAGAGAAACTTCGAAAACTCACAGTTTCGGTAATATTACTATCAACTGACAGAAAATCCGATAATATCTGCTAATGAATAAGCTTTCTAATGAGGTGTTTCAGTGAGATGGTAGAACTGTTGAGAAATTGCAAAATTATTGAAATATTAAATTCTTATTTTTCCAAAAAACGATATAGAGGTCAGTCTCTTCAACACAAAATAATATTGATTGAAGAGGAAACCAAACACGAAGTCTTTTACCTTTCAATCTGTTTTTCTAATCTCAACTGAATTTCGCGCGTTCTTTGAATATAACAAACCACATCCACTAGTACAGTTTCATACATTCTAGATAAACTTGGATTTTCTGATAACAGTATGTGGTATAGTTCATAAAGATGATTTTGACTACGACGGAAAATGTAAAAAAAAACAGGGGAGAATTATTCGACTTTAGAAATGTCTTGTTACAAATAAACAGAATTTTTGCGAATAAAATACGATTTATTGAGAAAAAAGCACTGAGCGTTTTCATATAACTCATATATATATATATATATATATATATATATTTATATATATTTATATATATATATCCATCATGTTCAGCTGAGGTATGAACATTTTCCTTAACTTCAAATGGACTCTTTTAACTTTGTCTTGGGATAGATCGGCCTTTTATATTTATTAAATACCCTTCATCTGTTTCAGCAGAGATCAGAATTTCAGAATAGTAGCAAACATAGGAGCTGTCATGAATACAGAATAAAAATATGTGACAGTATATCAGGTAGACGACAAGGTTGAATATGAACAAATATATATATATATATATATATATATATATATATACATATATATTAAAAACAATATCTTCATTATGCACGATAAGTTTACACAATATGCACAGTTTTCAGCTTAGTCTATTGCATAATATTTACTCTTCATCCAGGAGTTTCAAGCACAAACAGCCATCCAAGTGTTGGTTTGTAAGGATTTGATTGGTTACAGAACTTCATCATGAGATGACATCAGCCAGAGGACCATTGGAAAACCTGGAGTACTAGACAGCTGTTTCATCCTAGTCTGGAACTCCTCATCAGTACGCACCCACCACAACGGTTCGAACCCAGGACCTTCTGGTTACAAGGCTAGCGAGCTCTTATACCATTAAGCCACTGCGACCCGATCGAATGGCCAGTCCATGAATTCTAACTTCTGCCAATTCACGACATAGCGCGACCCCTAGCCAACGTCTTCTGCAAGTATTTTTCCTCACACCCGACTTGCTGCACCCTACTGGTCACGCTGTAGACTAGCTCTATAGTTGAAACGTAGTCCATTGTACTTAGTGCAGTTAAACTGATAATAACTTCAACAATAATGCAATAAAATCAATCTTAACTGAAATAAGCAGCATTGTTTGATGAACTTCCAGAGATGCTTTCCACAATGTCATCTCAAAATCTTCCGTGTTTGATTAACCATTCAATATAAAATGGGTTATCTTTGGAGAATCATATAATTTTTCATCGTTTAAACAAAATGTTTTTAAAATGAAGCTAGCCTTCAAATCTCTGGGGGATTCTCAAATTTTGATATAACTTAATTAGATGTGTCCTTGTTCGCCTAATATCTATAAACTAAATCAAGGTTTTTTAACACTTTATGTAATCTTACATACATTTAGGGAGTTTATGAAGAGTGACTATTAGTCGTGTAATATTTGGTGACGAAAATTCCAATCCATGAACTATAAACAAGATAGGTAACCGGAACTGTATCACCAACCAGTGTTACGTAAAATACATGTGATAACTTTGTATCCAGTGTACTTGTAAGTGGAAGAATGCATCATTTGGGAATATCGCAGAAATGCATTTGTACAAGACTTCAGTGACATATAAAATCTACTTTCTGTTTTTTTAAAGTTTAGTAAAACAACGAAATGCTTATAGTATTAAAAATGTGGAGCATTTTATGCACAGTAGTGTAATGGATTTTGATATATTTATGCGTTGAAGTTTCTTTAGCATTTTGGTTAAGTTTTGTGGGTGGAGTTGCTAGCAACACACCCCAGCCCTCCCTCTTCTTCCGGGCTTGGGATCGGATAGAAAACTAGCGAGCTACTAATAAAGTGATCCACAACAGAAAACTCAGCCAGACGTTTGGAGTAAACACAGGAGTCAGACAAGGGTGCTTATTATCACCAGTGATATTCCTAATTGTGGTGGACTGAATTGTGCGTCAGATAGTGGGAAACGAGAAGACAGGAATATCCTGGATTGACGTGAATAACCTAGAAGACCTGGATTTTGCACGTGGATGATTTATGTCTGGTGTCACACAAAATCGAAGACTTACAAGCGAAAACCGACAAACTGGTCGAAAAAGCAGCAAAGACAGGACTCCAGGTAAACATAGACAAGACGGAGGTTATGAAAATAACCAACCAACAACAACATCAACGACAACAGAAACATCCAACGACAATCACCATCAACGGGAGGGATTTGAAAGAGGTTACTTCATTCACTCACTGATCTAGCGAGCATTGTCTCAACTACAGGCAGTCGGAACGGACGAGGATGTCAAATCGAGCGAGAATCGGGAATGCAGGCGAGAAACACATTCATCAACCAACCTGAAACCAGTCTGGAAATCTTCGTCACTCAGCATCAACAACAAAATTCCGTCGGATTTTCAATACAAACGACGTCAAGTCAGTCAGTTTTTCTATACGAATCAGAAACGTGGTGGGCGGGTCACAAAGAATATTTCGAACAGCCTATTGCAGACCTTCATCAACCAACAACTGTCTTGGCTGGCTCTATACTGAAGACCAGATCAGATGGTCGGGCCTGAAAGAATTACCAACAAGAAACTATGGCTGAGAACAAACAAAACAAGAGCCAGACAATCGCCAGCCAACAAATATGCAGGAGAAAGTGGAAATGGATTGCACACTCACTCGCTGAGGAGGCCGCCGCTGGGTGACATCGCGCGCGCGTCAGGTCATTGCTCGAGTGGAACCAGGTCGAAATGGAAGCGGCGACTGGGTCGTCAGTGGAAAGGTGACATGGAGGAGATCGTGTGAACAGCAGTTGAAACAGTCTAGACTAACATGGATGCAGGTGAAAAGTACGGCAGAAGGAAGACAGAAGCAAGTGGATACGTGCAGTTAAGACCCTATATTTCACTAGGAACCCAAAGGAACAATAATAATATAATGGATTAAATTTTCACATCTATTTTAGTAATTATACGCATAACATACAGAAATTTATGAAAGTAAGATAAGTATACATTCTGTTTAATGGCACAGAAAATGATAGAATAAACCATAAGATTCATCACCTAGCTTGTCATGATAAAGGAGGTTTTTAAACTATAATAACATACTTTCTTTAGAGCCACAACTTTTCTTAGCTCTAAGTATTTCGTTAAACATATTTCTTGCAAAAAACGCAAATGTTCCGAAGACAAACACATACACTAGTAAAGTTTTTGAGTAGTAAATATAAAAATTATAATTTATTTATTTGAAATATTTCCAACTTTATATAATATATGAATAGTAATCAGATTATAAATTTTCAGAATCCTAACTTCAAAATATGTTATCCAATACAACCAAAGCAATTAGTGTGACACAAAAATATACTCTTATGATTTTTCTACTCTGAAAAAAAAATGAATCGAATCAGTGTGATAACAAAAAAAATGTTAATTTGTAATAATGTTCAGATATATCATATGTTCAAAAGTTCAGCCTACACTTCCTGTTGCTGTAATGGTGATAATACAAATAGGACAATGATTTTTAAAAATTAATGCAACCCTTAGTATATATTTCATAAATAAGCTATATATTTTAAAGATTGGGAAAACCAAATAAAGAGTTGGTGTAAGAGTAGAGTTTGAGCACTGTACTAGACTGTTGTCATTATACGCTTGGGTTCCAAATGGAAAGTAGGGCTACAGCAGTCCCTTTCACACAGACCCTCGAATGATCATAGGCTCTCATCTGCTTCTCACACAATCTAATCCACGTTACCCTCACAACCACACACACACACACACATTCGTCGTTTCCCATTCGGCTTTCACTCGATGGCCAGCGTGGCATGCGATTTCGCCCAACGGCCTCTTCATTGTGTATCCCATCCATCTCCATTTTTTTTCTACACATTTAATGAACGATATATCCTTGATTAGTTTGTTCCCAGAGTTTCTCGTTGGAGATCCTTTCTGATCATCTGGTCCTAAGTATGGGGTCAAAGAGGGCGGCTGTTGAGAGAAATCTGCAGCTGGTTGTTAGAAATGTTTTTCGTGACTCATGTGCTAAGTTTCAGACCCATCTAGGCGAAATAATTTAATATTAATGTGGAGGGTTCGAATTTTAGTTTATGCTGACTGCAGGAGATTCATCGAAACACGCGTCGGTGGGCTGGTTCCTCAAAGACTTTCGTCAGTCCAAGTCTTTCCTCCTCCCAAATGTCAATGAACCATTTGATTTTTATGCTTTTGTTGTGTTCTGAAAATTTTATGATGAGTGGATTGATTTTCCAGGATAAGGTCGCTGGCTGCACGCCTAACCTTCCCTCTTTTCCCGGGTTTAAAACCGGCTGGAAAACTAGCGAACTAGTATACTACACGACGTTGCAGCAGAATATAATTCCGGTCACTGATAATACATCACTGTATGCCATGTGTGATATTCATGCTTATGCAGATTTATGTTTCATGGTGTCTTCAAGTGGACATTTTTTTAATTATTTTTATTCCCTTAAATTCCTAGAGGAAAATAGGGCTTCAGCTGAAAGTCTCCATCGCGTTCGGTTCTCTGCTAGTGTTTTCACCTGGCTCCAAGTGTGCCCACACATGTTTTCATCTCCGCTTCACATGACTTCCTCCAAGTCACCCCACTCTCGCACCGATGATCAACTCGCCGCTTCCCTTTCGAGTTCCACTCGAGGACTTGTCTAGTAATGTCACTTGATGGTTTCTTCAGAGTATGGCCAGCAAATCCAACTCCATTTTACTCCAAGAGATCTTTGTTGCTGATCCTTTCTGGCCATCTGATCTTGAGTATTAGGCGAAGACAGCTGTTGATGAAGGTCTGAATTTTGTTTTAGATGATCTTTATGACACGCCAAGACTCTAATCCTTATAGTAGCACTGATTTTACATTGGAGTTGAAAATCTGGATCTTATTTTTGATGCTGAGTGCTGTTGATTTCCACACAGACTTGAGAGTAATGAAAGCTTGTCTTGCTTTCCCGATCCTCACTGCTTTGATATCCTCATCAGTTCCATCCGCCTGTAGTTGAAACGATGTTTCCCAGGTAGGTAGGTAAGTGAAGGAGGTTGTTTCTTTCAGGTCCTCCCATTTATGCTGATTGTTG